AACAGAGATGCCAGGAGCAGGGTGAATCACTTAGCAAGCTGTGCTCCTCCATTCTGCAGCTGCCACCCACCGCAACACATCTGGCCACTGGGAAAAAAACACTCAGATAGAAAACCGCATCCAAACGAATTGCTACATGACACAAAAGATCACTTCTTTAAATTGAAATTCATTTGGAGTCAAAACGGGGTTCATCCCCCCAGGGCGCACGTGTGTGACTGCAGAAACCCACACACAGGTGGCAAAAGTGGAGACGACATACAAACACACACTTTCTCACAAAGAAAATACACTTCTTTTTTTTTTTAAGGCAAGAGCATTCTTTGTGTGAGGCTAGTGGGTCTTCCAGCTCGCTGCCCAGGTGCTGTCTCTGGGCAGACACATGCCACTGGCTGGTCTTAATGCACATCAAATATCACTTTTCTACCAACAACGCCTGCCCAACTCTAGCTGCTGCAATTCCCCTTTTATTACGTTTCCCAGGATTTCATATTGTACATGCTGAACTCCACAGAAAGGAGTCAAAGCTCATTTCTAGACCTGAAATGGAATCATTCACTGCAGACCAAATATTGCAACAAAAATTGCCACTAGCTTTGTTGATATGAGTCACATGGTAACAAATCATTAAATTACTTACACAGATGGAGAACGAGGGATGATTTGACATCGGGGGAAAGGGAAATAAAACGATGTGAAATGATTGATTTTTTTGGGGGTATTTTTTCACATGAGAGCAGCATTAAATGTTGATTCATTTTTACTTTAAACATTCGCACAAAGACCCTATTGTTGGAGCTTTGTGAGGCAGACGCAGCGGCACTTGGAGCTCAGTGCAAACATGTTTAGCACTTTCACCAACATTTTATCTTCACTCATAAGCACTCAACACAAAGAACAGCCAAGACTCATGAGGATGCTTTTAGTTTTGCAGGTATTTGGTCTTTAAAGTAGGTCAGAGCTCTACCCAGTAGTGTGGAGAAATGAAAAGTAAAGTATATACAAAAGTCTGGAGTGAAGCATAAATGTGGTGCCAAATATTATGGAAATCCATGGAACATGCACTCACCAGACACTTGATCAGTTAACCCAACTAGTACCAAGTTGATTCCCCTTTTGTTTTCAGAACTGCTTTAATGCTTTGTGCAGATTCTACAAGGTGCTGGAAATTTCCCTCAGATATTTTGGGCAGTATTGATGTGTTAGCATCACACAGTTGCAGCAGATTTGTCGGCTGCACATCAATGATGCAAATCTCCTGTTCCACCGCATCCCAAAGGTGCTTTGCTGGCTTGAGATCTGGTGACTGTCGATGGCATTTGAGTACAGCGAACTGATTGTCAAACCAGTTTAAGATTATTTGAGCTCTGGGACATGGTGCATTATCTTGCTGGAAGCAATCATGAGAAAATGGGCACACTGTGGCCGTAAAAGGATGGACATGGTCAGCAACAATGCCCAAGTAGACTGTGGTTTTTAAACAATGTTCGGGATATACTAAAGGGACCAAAGTCTGTCAAGAAAATATCTCCCATTAGACCAACAGCAGCCTAAACAATTGATACAAGGCAGAATGGATCGATGCTTTAAGGTTGTTTACTCATCAGACGAGGCAACATTTTTCCAGTCTTCTATTGTCCAATTCTGGTGAATTGTAGCCTCAGTTTCCTGTTCTTAGCTGACAGGATTGGCCCCCAGTGTGGTCTTCGACATTCAGAGATGCATACCTTGATTATAATGAGTGGTTGCCTTCTTATGAGGTCGAAGCAGTCTCGCCATTCCTCCCTGACCAACAAAGCATTTTACACCCACAGAAGTGCCACTCGCTATTTTCTCTTTTTCAGACTATTCTCCGTAAAACCTAGAGGTGGTTATGTGGGAAAATCCCAGTAGATCAGCAGTTTCGGAAATACTCAGCTCATCTGGCAACAACAACCATGTCACATTCAGAGTTACTAAAATCTCATTTCTTCCCTATTCTAATGGTTGATTTGAACTTTAGCAGGTCATCATGAGTATGCGTACATTCCTAAATGTATTAAACTGCTGCCATATGATGGGCTGGTTAGATAGTTGCATTAGCAAGCAGTGACCGGTGAGTGTATATCATAACCACAAATGTTAAACCTGTGGTGGCACTTGAGGAAAAAAAATCATCTGGGAGCCATGATGAGAAGTCCATATTTACAGACGAACCATGTAACAGTTGATGAGGTAGTTAAATCTGGACCGACTAGGCTGTCTGACAACACTACCACCCCTGGAGCCGCTCTCTAATTAGCTAATAAAACTATGAATGCTTTACTACTGCATTACCCTAGTGAAAACTGCTTTAGAAAAATCTCATTTTAACATGATGCAATGCTATTTTTGGCTCGTACCATTGCACACAGTTGCCTAATGCACCCATGCTCAGTGTAAACAATATATTTAATTATCTCTCTGACAGAGGGCATATTCCGAACTTCTTGTTGCCCCACGCCCACCA